TTTCAGTACAAATCGGCAATTTCATACTTTAACCCCTATTATTAATATTACCTACTTAGTTTCAAAGCGTCATTGTTGTAATGTCACTTTAAAATTAAATCGTATATGAATGACACGTCAATATAGCAAAATTTGGAGATAAATTATTAATATAACGCAATTATCAAATAAAATATAATATAACGCAATTTTTGAGATAATACTATCTATGTATTTGTCAAGTGCGATATATTTTTGTTGTTGTTGCTTGGGCAAAAAGTTGTGTCATCATCATAATTTAAGTATTTAGGTCAGTGAATGGTTTGTTGTTTTTTTTTTATTTTTTCCGTAAAGGGAAAGGCCAAAGTTTGAAACCGTACAGCCAAGTCTTGGTGAATTTTTCTTCTTTTTATTTTTATATGAATAGGCATACGTCGTCTTCGGTCCATTATTTAAAGGCATTAAGCCTCGTTTTCGGTGGGTCATCTTTCAATGATCGTCAATTCTGAGTATTTTGTCAACTCCGATTATTCCAAATCCTTCCTTTATATGGCTGTGATTTGGAGAACCAGTTTTTTTCCTTTTTTCCCAGTAACTTTATTAATTGAAGTTTACTCAGGCGCCATATGAGACAAAGCTGCCCTCATCAGTGACCTGGCATCCATAACACGTAACGTGGGGCGCAAAATGCGTCCATCAGTAGTGACGAGTCGGCACAAATGGTTGCGTCACCGATCGCTGCTGCCGTCGCGCGTGATGAGCCGTGCCCTGCTGCCCGCATCTCCGTCCCGGAGGAAACTCCTCGCGTATACATGTCAGTCCCTGCACGTGCATACGCCGCTGTAGCCGCTTGTACCAGCCCACCAGCCACTTCGAAACTCGATAATAACTCGAGGAGACAATGGAGTACATCAGACATAAAGCCAAATACACCCTGAGAGTCGAGCGGTTGGAGGAACTCCAACCCCAGCCACAACGTAAATTTTAATTCGCTTGTAGAGAGAGTGCCGACCGAACATCTATCGACCTTCTTTTTCAGATTGCACCACACGTCGCCGACAAGTGTAATTCGTGTAGATTAATTAGAAATAGTGTTTTATTATATTGTATGTATGTTTTTCCTTAAGCTATATATTACATGAGTGTTCTATTGTATTATTATGTATGTTAGGCTATAAGGCATGTATGTATGGGTCTTTATAACCTGAATACAAATAAATAAATTAATTAAACTCCCCTAATGTAAACTGGTTTGTTAAGTATTCAGAATGAGAAGCAGATGTAAACTGTTCAATTTTCAATGGAGACTCAACGGTGTCTGGTGTATATTTCTTAAGAAAATTGTTGATTAGGTCTTATTGGTTGTTACATTATTGCTTTTGGGTTTCTTATTCAATTTTCTCATCATAGACCAGATGTATGATAAAGGACAACTCCTTTCTGTTAAAGGTTTCAGTTCGAGAATACCAACTCAATTTTCTCTCATTATTCAAAATAAGCGTCCTTTGTGCTTGTTTTTGCTTAAAAGTTAAGTAATTTATTCCACTTGGACTCTTTAAAGAATAAGTAAGCTTGTTTGGCAGCTTTTACAGCATTTGCACAGTTTTGATTCCACCAAATCAGAGGTATTCTCTGTTATTTAGGCTTTGTGAAGGAGTCAATTATATGTGTAAGTGTAAATTTTGTGTGCAAATAATGTAGATTCCTCTGCAGCCATATTAATGATGACAGTTAATTCTGGATATGACTTCAACGAATTGAAAATATCAAAGTAATAATTGGGTACCAAACTATATAACACCTTTGTATATTTTTTTAAATCAATGTTTCTACAACTTAAATGATGAGGAAAAGGTGAATTGTTTTGATCACTGGGCACAGAATCATAAGAATTGTCATTATTAATATTTTTGTTATTACAGGTAAAAGAAAGCTGCCAAGTGGGTCATCAGTTACCATCCTGTCAGAATTAAGAGCTAAAAAAGGTGAAACAATGGTTAAGTCCAATGCATTGAGCTGCCAAATGTGTGAGCCAACAGTCGTAAAATGTCCACTATTATTAATGGCCAAGCCATTTACATATGTACTTTTATAGACGTCACGACCCCTCGCATCGATAGATGAACATCCCCATAGTAGGTGGTGGGCATTAAAATCACCTGCCAGAAAGAGGGTTAGGGAATACTGCGGGTGAAATCATTTAACTTCCTCTTTGAAAACTGAGGAGGGCAATTACCTGGCTTGCATAAACTTACTATACATAATTTTTTATTATAATATTTTAATCTAATAGTAATATTTTGAAGTGAACCACCGTATTCTGTTTGTGTACTAGTGTAATTAAATTTTTTATGAATATGTATGCCTACACCATTATGAGTGTTACTTGAATGTAATCTAACCATGTTGTATTCCTTAAATCGTATTTTATGATGTGATTTTAGTCACGTCTCACAAATTACTGCAATGTGAATCCCTGTGAAAATTTTTACAAAATACGTCGATGACACATTAAGCTCTGAAGATTCCATTGAACTATGTTCAGATTATCCATTAAATTGGTATGTTATTTAGTTTTTGAATTCTATATCTCTATCAGAACATCTTCGATGGATTTTGAATTGATTTCTTATTGATTCAGTTTGTTGAGAGACATTAATTTAATTATTGAATTTAATAAAATGTCTAAAATTTTGCCTGAATTTAGGACGGAAAAAAATGCTGAGTTTGTGTTACTTTTCTACGCAAGGAAGGAAATGACTTTTCATTGACTACTGTGGAATATGCTTTTTTTAAAATAAATCTATGTTTAGTTTTAATTTTTGAATTTTTACTGGACAATCTTTGGATATTTGTTGACCCTGACGATGTACACAGGTGGCGTCTTTAGTATCTATATATGTTTTGAAGTTGTGGTTGATTCCGCATTCTGAGCATCTTTCTGAATTCATACAATATTTGCATTGCTTTACCGGAGGAATGTAGGGTTTTACTTCAAAACGTTAACTGTTGAGGTCTTTTCAAGCAGGACTGGGCAGGAAAAGGTAATGGACACAGTTTGAGTGTGAATGATCTGAAAATCGTTTTTACTTTATTTTGTCCTCATAAAACATCTTATTTGTACAATGTGTTTTACTGGATATGGTGTCGTAAAATTCTTATAGATCTACTGGAACCTGTGTAATAACGCCTGACGCCTCTGTGGCTCCTGCCGGAACAGTCGCTTTCATTTTATGTGAATCCAAATATTTGGTATTTGTGAGGACAGCATTAGCAAACAAAGTTCGTTCAAATATAACTCCTATTTTATATTTGATCATTCTTACGAATTGCTTAACTCCCTTATTACATCTATTTAGTGGACATACCCATGATGTCCCTAGCGGTACCGATGGACTCAAAGAATACTAGAAAGATTCCAAAAAGATTGAAAAAGATTCAAGAAAGATTCGAAGTTACTATTTTCATGGTAACTACGTGTATAATTTAGTACACGGAAAGGTTGATATTTATTTGCAACGGTGTAGGAGGAAATGGAGTCACTGTAGGAATCTGTGTTTTGCTGGATTTCTTCTTCTCCCTCTTTACCCTTCTTCTTCTTACGCTTCCCCATCGCAAAGCCGTCATAATAATAATAACAATAAATAAATAAATAATTTGTTTATTGTTAGTAAACACAGAGACAAAACATAGAACATAAAAACATAAATACACATTATTACGCTTGAGGCACCGCCGATTACCACATCACCTCACCAGAACCAGATCGAAATGACGAAGCATCGGCGCATCGACCTTAGCCGCAAACGTTTTCAGGATGCTGTTAGGACTAGAACGCGGTCTAGAGAGTAGTGACGCCGTCTTATTTCGCATTACAACAAAAAAGTCGTCTACTCCCGCTTTAGCAAATATCGACGATGCGCTACAATATCCCATATATTATATGGATATACATAGATAGTCCCAACAGCATCCTGAAACCGTTATTATATTGAATGCGCAGGGCGCCGAGTGGCTTCTGCGTATAGTTAACCTATAGACCATCCGTGTAGAAGGATTGACAATACGCCTTGAATAAAGTTATTTCGGCTTCCTCACTACAGCGGGCGAATCTATGTGCTAACATATTACATCTCGCAGCCAACGCCCTACGTTCACGATCAATGCCAGTTTGGTCTCTAAGATCCTCCGCCAAGTAATGTCCTAGATATTTAAATCTGCTCACCCTCTTTAGCGCCACCTCATTTAGATTAATTTTAGGTTCATAAGACATCCAAATAATCTAAATATAAGGTAGTTGTTTGCCTTGGTAGATAAATAACAAGGTATTATGAAATTAAAATTTGTAACTAAAAGTTCGTTTCACAATTTTTTTAATTTGCCAAATATCATTCATGAAGAAATGATGTATGAATGCGCAAATTAATAACTGCCTCTGTGGCTGAACGGTTCGTCCAGGCTTGTACTGCCACCTTTCCTATTTCTGCCACCAAGCAGAAATGCGAGCATTACTGCGTTTCGGATTTGAAGGGTAAGGGTGCTGGTGAAATTACAGGCACATGAGACTTTTCAACTTATGTCTCAGGGTGACGGGCGCAGTGGCAGTGGCCTTGGCGCGGCACTGCAACTGTTATGGACATGCGTGATACTTATCACCCGGCACGCGACTTGTTGGTCCCGTTACTAATCAAATTAAAAAGTTGGCATCAAATTAAAAAGAAACCATGCTGGACTGCCACGCAGAGGTGCCAGTTTCAATTCCCGGACCGGGAGAAATATTTGCATGGCCTACATTTATTTCTCTCGTGAGTTTGGTGTAATTTGTGATTGTCTATGTGTGTATCCATGGCAACCGCGATACAGGTGCTGGTGTTCCTAGTGCGGGGCTTTAAGTGTGTGCGTTATTATTATTATATAATTTGACGGTTTGTTTGTAAAACACATTCTCACACTAATACACACACACACACTCATAGATCCGCACTAGGGAAACCCTGTGTCGCGGGACGGAACGTTTTAAAGTTTGACTTTTATTAATCAACGATGCATTTAATGCGTTTTGATAATGATTTTTTTCCATCTTCTAAGGTTTTGAAGGGAAACCAGAGGTGTCTATGTACATTTATGGCCAGGCAAAATAAGTAAGTCAGTCGGTAAAGCACTATCGGTTTTTATTACTATAAAAAACGGGGCTCAGAGATATTACACAGATACTACGACGTAAGTAAATACTTATAACAGGAACTAATACAAAATTACAGCAGAAAAGACGCACATGAAAGACTTCTAACTCGAACCAGTGTTAAACGCGGACTCTTGGACACTAACTGGAGCGCGCGGGGGTGCGGGTCGGTAAACACGCATAAAACGGAAGTTACCGGAAGTCCTTTCGTTATTACCATATTTGGTCATGAAAAAAGTGATATTTTGGCAAAACAGGGTCGATAGCGAGAAGCGCCATTTACGAGTACATTCGCATCGCATTGCATGCGAATTTTGCTTGATATTACAAGCATTTGGGACTTGTCAACTTATGTCTCAGGGTGACGGGCGCAGTGGTAGTGCCCTAAATTAATTTCGTGGAAAAATAATGAACCGGTGCACCAAAAGTAAAACTATTGATGTTTTTGAGATAGAAACCAAAACTATTTACACTGATGTGAGCGTTATGTATGTATGAGCATATTTTCATGAATTAACCGTAAATGCGTTAGCTAAACTTTTCATATGAGTGGAAAACTCAACTTTTTGATTTTTGAAAACAACTAAGTTTAAAAATATGTGTGAAAATGTCAATTTTGAAAAAAAAATCCTAGACATAACCATAGACACCGTATAAACCTTAGACTACGGAAACTAAATTTCCATTATTTTCTTTCTTCCGTGATCCCAACTGTGTCTATTTCGCAGTAATTGAGGTACATGATGCGGTTGTCAAAAGAAAGTACATCAAATGTCAAAACAAATGTTTTCCAAGTGTTTTATTGAATTGTTCGCATGTATTGTAATAAAATAGACAAAAATATTGACAGTGAGAACAATTGTTCTCAAGTATTAATAAAAATTCGTCGCTGCAGCATTATCGTAGACTTCCCTGTAATGGATGTGTTTTTATTTATTTTCTACTATAAATGCTGTTGTCGAATCAATTGTATTCCCTACAACTATTAATCGGCGCCATCGTTACAAAATTATATTTCATATTTTATAGACTGCTGGTGTAATTATAGGCACACGGGACTTGTCAATTTATGTCTCAGGGTGACTTGGTGATTTAAAGCTCTGAGTGGCACTGCAACTGTTATAGACAGGCGTGTAGCTAACCATCAGGCGCATGTCTTGTACGTTCCGTCAATTGATTTTATAAAAAAAGACTACGTGTTGGTGGTCCTTTTGTTTCTAGAATTGGTAGGCGTGTAAAACACCTACAGTTTGGGTTTTTATAATAATTTTTGTTTTGATGGCAGGTTTGTATATTAAAGGAAGTTAAAATTTTTTCGATGATATGGAAATACTACCTGTCTTGACTGCAGTGAAGGACTCGAGGTTAGAGGCGATCTGAATCTTGTATTGGAACGAGGTTCAATTTAAATGATTAGTCCATTTAGAGCGTGCAAGAGTTTAAAGGTTTTAAGGGTAGTAGAGCTCGTTGTGAAAGAGCGCTTCCAGGGAAGTACTGCTACCTTACCTATTTCTGCCAGCAGTCACATCAGCATTACTGCGTTTCGGTTTTGAAGAGTAAGCGCGCTGGTGAAATTACAGGCATATGGGACTTGTCAACTTGTGTCAGGGTAACGGGCGCAGTGGCAGTACCCCTCAGGTCTTTGCGATTAAAAGTTTTGAGTGGCACTGCAACTGATATCGACAGGCGTGTAGCTTACCACCAGGCGCACGACTTGATGGTCCTGTCACTTGATTATAAACAAAAGAAAAAAGAGTGCTGTTGAAATCTTACGATAATTAACAATTTTATGTTATAACAAACATTTTAAATAAAAATTGTAGACACAGTAACTATATAAAACACATTAAAATGTCGAAAAATAATTACAATATTATACACAAAGACATTATGTGTTTTTCGTTACAATGCATCAAATTAAAAAAAAACTACCCTTTCTCTACTTATTTTCGATATAGGTATATTATGCGATATTAGGTTAGTAGACTTATAGATATCCAAACTGAGTAAAACTATCAACCAATCCTTCAATTTTAGTTTTACATTTGTTTATCGTTTCCGGATCTGAAGCTGATATTTTAACTTGATCGGCAATTTCCTGAGTAGATTTTTTACCATCTACGTTATTCATCGCATCTTTCAATTTAGTTGCGTCAGCTGTCTCTCTGACCATAATTGTAGCTGCCATTACAGCTTGGCCAAGAGAGAATTTGGCAAACCTTCTTAAGTCTGCATCGAACTGGTCTCTAGGATAAACAAAGTTAGCCTTAAGTCCATAGTTGCCCAAGCTTTTGTCCAATTGCGAGTGATAATAATCGATCCAATCATAGTAATTATTCGTTCTCGTAGCGTGATCGGTGCAATTGAAGATCATGTACTGAATGTCAGCGACGGGACTACTAAGTTTTGAGGCTTGGTAATCGATCATGCAGCATTCCACAGTTATGTCATTCTAAAATAGATAAAAAAGCTATACTCATTATGGGCAAGAGTGGAAACCTACTGTGTAAATAATAAATTAACATACATATATATATATATATATATTATTCAGGTGTGCAAGCTCCATAGTCGACCTCATCGTCACTTTCCATCAGTTGAAATGGAGGTCAAATGCGCAGTTACATTTTAGTAAAAAAACACAAATCTAAAAGCACGATCGTTTCTTATGGCCTTAATTCAAACTTTACGAAATAAAAAATTAATTATTTTTTTTACGAAACTATTTGAGAAACATATAAATCCATACCTCTATTTTGAACATAATGTTGTTAGTCCAAGCATCTCCTTGTTGAATTACGGAGAATTTTGAGTCAGCATCTATTTTAGCCAGCTTCGCGGCTCGTGGAATCATCTGGCCTGCTGCATTTTTCACCGCTGTCTTGTATTTATCATCATCTAATAACGTTTGCACGTCGGCATCAATCTGAGTAAACCAACCAGTAATTTCAGGAACATCGACTAATATGAGCCAGAAATTGGCAAGTCCTTTTGTAAATTTTTCAAACGTCTCAGGTTCTTTGTACTTCAAAACATACGATAGGGAATGTAGATTAGCGAAGTTTTTAAGAACCATTCTCACATTGTCATCCGCCAATGAGCTGAACCTGTCTAGCATTTTGAAGCCAGGTACTTCTAAGTCTTGTAGAAGAATTATTTCATTTGGTTCTTCCAAGTACGTCCCGTAACAAATTGCGTATCTAAGTCTTTCCTTCTCTGGAATATTTGCGGCTTTTTCTAATTCAGTAAACTTAGGTAGTACTTCGGTGTACATGACATTCTCGTTTTGGAATAAAAGGCGAATATTTCCAAGAGTGCGCTTCATGTCATTCTTGGGAGCCACTTTGGCAATCATCTTAAAACTTTCACCGTTCTTTTCTACGCTAATTCTTTGCACATTGGCTACGTAGTTGTCTCCTGCATTACCCACTGGTAGTACTTCAACTTTGACATTTTTAAATCCTCTCTCTTTCAACACATTGCCAATCAAATTCTTTTGTTCGACACTTAATTCACTTACGTCACCGACAAACTGAAATTCAGACATTGTAAGTGTTGACACGCAAAGAATTTTACTACGTCATACAGCAGTGATTTTAGTATTGGTATAAAGTCTTTTACAAAATGTAACCTGTGTGTGGCAGCTTACCGTTATCACTGATAAGATATCTAAGTTGATACAGGTGTTGACTTGATGTTATTGGAACAGCATGATTGGAGAAGTAATTATATACACGGGGTGTTTCTGCACATAGCCTGTGTAAAGCATTCAGTACCTTAAGGCCGCATATTAGGAATGGTGGTACGTTTAGCGGGGCGTTCAAGGTTTGCCCGTGTATTGCGCACTATGTCTTATGTTGGATACGTACAACGCACTACACCGTTGTGTATTTGTGGCCTAAGAGTTATGAATGTAGCATTCAGGTGCGAGAAAGGAGCTTTCTTAATGTATTAGTCTTTTCCTGTATATCTGGTGCATCCTGGCACCAATCAGCGAGTACCTTACACCGATTGGCAAATCACTTCACCGCGACTGCAAGCATTATAGCGCATGCTTTCGATACGATAAGAAGATAGATGCAGTCAAAATATAAGGTGTTTACGCATTGCCCTTGTGTTTACGTGGAATAAGTCGTTATTGCCATAGTTAGTACTTAGCACTACTACACAAGTAACAGTGTGGACACCCTGTCTATTGAACTACACATTCGAATTAATCGATAATGATCATTAAAGGATTTTTCATTATAATATTTAGGTAGAATTGAAGATAGCAATTGGTACAAGTATAAAGATAGTAATGTTGTTCGCGGAAAATTCCTAAAAAGGCGTTAACATTGTTAATTGTAATATATATATATATATATTATAAAAATGTATTTTTTTTTTAATTTATATAAATTTTTTTAAGAATGAAAGTTATCACTTATCACCTACAGCCTACGTCAATGCTACATATTTAGTACCGAGCGTTACAAATAGATGGCAGAGGACGGCAACCTTCTTGATTTTCTTCGTGATTTGGCAAACACAGCAGTCTACTAGGTGTAAACAGCCCATCGACTGCGCCGACTTCGTCTGCCGAATCTGCTTGCCGAATTGCTATTGATGCGGTATAAACACTGTTAGAGTAAATATCGGCCAAACGCTAAATGGTATTGAAAAGAAGACATAATATACAACGAGCGCTAATAGTATAAGGAGAACGGTTGCTTCTCAATCTTGGCTGGCGGATCTGTGAACGCCTGTATGTACTTGTTTGACTATAACTTTTAAGGCAAGTCGTCGGAGGAAATTTTTTTTTTGAGATCAAATGGTTACCGTTTAATAACAGTCTTATAAAAAATATATGATACATCTACGAGTAAGTATATTGTCTAAAGAATGTGCCAATTCGTTACACAATAGAATGTACTTTATTCGATCATGTAAAATCATGTGAAACGAATAATTAAGAATAAAATATCTAACTGTACATAATTTTTATATGGAGATATTTCTATTTACATACTACAGAGAACCTGCTAAACTTTGGTTTTTATCTGGAGCCCTATATGGATAGTTATTAAATTCACATTTTTTCCTAAATCTTGAAAATTTCCCAGTCGTTTAACGACACGCCGCACCGCCCGCTGTCACGTTAGTTGCCATCGGGCCTTTGGCAACGTCAGATCTGTGTTAAATTTTCACTGAAATAAAGTCAATGCTGCCTGTTCATATTTTATTAAGCGCGCAGACCGCGAGACGCGAGTAGTTGCCCCCACACCTCATTTCCCAAAATCTAGGCTCGCGTTCAAATACCTCGCCTTTGTAACGTGCATTTGTGAATGTTTAGAAGATATATCTCTCGCTAACTGTGAAGGAAAACATGACTGTACATGCTCATCGAATAAGGTTCACAAACCTTGGCGAAAAGTATGAAATCACCAACCCACTTTGGGATAGCGAGGCGGACTATGAACACACAAGTCAAGTGAAGTCAAGGTCAAGTCACACTGAAAGGCGACCGGAGGAGCATTTTTGGTGCAAAGTACCTGTTACTAAGCATTTTGAATGTAATCTTCTAAAGAAAAAAGTTCAAATTGATTCGAAGTGATAGACTGTAAAGTGCGGCACCGCGAGTAGCCGCGAAGTTGCATGAAACTTGTAGTGATCTCCAAGAGGAACCGTGCTAGCTCCTCCGGCTGCTGCGCGCCTCTATATTTTCAGTGTTACTTGACCTTACAACAGGCCTATAGACGACATGACAACAAGAATAGACAGGGAAAAACTCATAATAATATATTGATAAAAAATCGTACACCGTATTTCATTGAGTAGGCCATGCCGAATGCACGTTAAATGCTCTATATCCTTTGTCAAGGTCACTTTCAAGTGTCTCATGTAACTTCTGTGCTACTTTTGCAAAAATTTGAATAAAAATGTAAATTTTGTATTTTCTTAATTTAATTTCATCTGGAACAGAAACGATGACTCGACTATAACTGGATTGTTGTAAATCTGAGTGAGGGTGCGATGGCATTGCATGATATAATAACGTTTTCCTCTTTCATCATCGGGTGACTAGACATAGGCTTCCATCTCTATGTTGTGGATATTCCAAGGATTCGTAAAAAGCGTTTCACTTCCACATTTATATGGCGAACGGCTATAGGGCGAATTTCCCAGCCTGCAGACTTATTCCCTGAACGCTATAACCTGGGCCTTTTCAAGCGGGAGTGAATAGGCATAATTACGGAGTGTATGCTCCATTGTCCACTTCAACACCACCTTCCATCAGGTAAGATCATTTTTGATAAGGTCATTTGGTAAGGTCATTTGACTTTTTTTTTAAGGATTAGATTATCGCATTTATTTCTTCTTCAAAACTTCAAAACGATGAAAAGTTTTTAGTTCAGATTTTAGTGCCTAAACAATAAAGTACTTTTTAAGGATTTGAGAATCGTCAGCCTCAGGTCTCTTAAAAATCTTGAATAATAATTTGATAAATTTTTGTTTCTGGAAAAACTAACAGTGAGAACTTAAAACCTTGACATAAATAGAAAAAAACATTGATAACAAAGTCCAAAGTCGGTAGGAATAAAAAATGCAATGATAGACATACAAAATATTAAGACGTAATGTTATTTCATTAAAGCATATTTATAATTCGTAAGTTGAAATGAATATCACGATTATACTAAAGTTTGACGAAATTACAGAAACCCAAATTCAATGAAACTGTCAACAATTCCTTTCAATTTAACTTGAAATTTCTGAATCGTTTCGGGATCAGAACTTGACAGTTTAGTTTGTTCAGCCATGTTGTTTAATTCATCTGTAGTCATATTGGCATGAACTTCCTTCATTGTTTCTTTTAATTTAGCAGCTCCTGCTGCATCTCTGACCAGCACTGTACTTAACATAACACCTTGGCCAAGAGAGAACTTGGCGAATCTACGTAAGTCTGCATCAAGTTGATCTTTAGGATAAACATAATTGGCCTTTAGTCCGAAGTTGGCTAAGCTTTTATCCAATTGTGAGTGATAATAATCGATCCAGTCGTGGAAATGTTCCGCTCTCGTAGCGTAGTCGGTGCAATTAAAGATCATGTAATGTAGGTCGGCGACGGGATTACTCTGTTTAGAGACTTGGTAGTCGATCATACAGCACTCCACGCTTCTGTCATCCTAAAAATAATAAAAAAGTTAAGTGTTCATTCATTAATATTACACAATTATTACACTCATCATTATCACACACCACTTCAACTAAAATTGAGCTAATCACAAAAGCAAAAACAGTTTTTCTTGTTCGAGGGGTGAGAGTCTGGCGACTCGTAACACAGGCTTTTCAAACCTATCACGGGCACCAATCACTCACTTAAGTAGTTTGATATCACAAAATTGTATTTTATTACATATTTAATTAGCTGCTTTTGTGAGTGAAAATAAAAAAAATATATTTTATTATATTATATTATATTATATTATATTATATTATATTATATTATATTATATTATATTATATTTTATTATATTATATTATATTATATTATATTATATTATATTATATTATATTATATTATATTATATTAAATTATTATTATTTATTATTCATTGGTATTTTAATATTAGCTAGTGCACTCTTGAATAAACACAACATACCGAGAAACAGATTAAACTTACACAATTACCATGTAGTGGACACTATGCCACGGAGCAATTACTAGGATGAATGAATGATTTATAGACTCATTGATCCGTTAACCCGTTGACTCGTTGATCGAACGAAGGTTCTATCGAACGAATGCTTTATTGAACAAATGTTCGACCCAAACGAAGAGTGAGAAAGCGAACCGTGTCGTGAGTGGGAATTTCACGTGAGAATGAACGAGACAACAACAATATTGTGAGTTGTTGAATAATCTCTAAAGTTAAAGTGATAAGGTCGAATATTGCGCGCATGACCCATGAAACTCTAAAATGATCGGGTTATTTAGAAGCTAGTAACCGGGGTATCGGGTCACAGATGCTGTTCGAATCATTTTGATTCGATCGAACACGATCGATACACATCTAATATAGAGTGACTCAATCGTGTAGTTCGCGCACAATATTGCGTTGGCTATTGATGATGTTAACATTATATGATCGCTTAGCTTATACTAAGTTAAAATTTCAATGGTACTTACTGTCAAAAGAAGTAGGTACTTAGAATAGTTAATGTTTTATCAATGAAATGATCACAAAATAAAAATGAAACTATGATTTTTTGTTATAAATTTCACTTGCACTTCTGTTTTATTTTTTATTTATTCTATGCATTCTTACCTCAAGTCTAAACATAATATTATTTGTCCAAGCGTCTCCTTGTTGAATTACAGAGTGCTTCGAGCCAGCGTCAAATTTAGCCAATTTCGGTGCTTGAGCCATCATTTGTACTAATGCGTTTTTGACTGCCTTCTTGTGCTTATCACTGTCTAATAATATTTGCACATCAACGTCAAGCTGAGCAAACCATTGAATCATTTCAGGAGCTTTGGTCATTAATAACCAAAGATTGACAAGATTCTTACAAAACATTTCAAATGTTTCAGGTTCTTGATATCTCAAAACATATGACAAAGAATGTAAAATTGCGAAATTTTTAAGAACCAATCTTACATTTTCATCTGTCAATGAGGAGAATTTGTCTAGAATTTTGAATCCCGGTACTGATAAATCTTCTAGAAGAATAATTTCGTTTGGTGCGTCCATGTAAGTTCCGTAGCAAGCTGCATATTTAAGTCTTTCTTCTTGCGGAATATTTGCAGCGCTTTCTAATTCACTAAATTTTGGTAACACTTGGGTGTACATAATATGCTCATTCATAAATAAAATACCAGTATTTCCAAGATTGCGCATCATGTCACTCTTAGGAGCGACTTTAGCAATCATCTTAAAGGTTTTACCATCCTTTTCCACAGTGATTCTCTTCACGTTAGCTACATAGTTGTCATCTGCTTTGCCTACGGGTTCTACATGAATATTAACGTGTTTAAATCCGTGTTCTTCAACAATATTAGTAATTAACTTCCTTTGTTCTTCAGATAATTCATTAATGTCACCAATAAACTGTAATTCCACCATTTTTTTTGTAGTGTATTATGTGATTACATGTATTTGAGTGTAGTTGATAATGTGTTTTTTACTTTAAGTAACAATGACTTCAAAACTGGTCAAGCGCTTATATTTATATGATTATTGTTATCTTTGATAAGATAATGATAAATAAAAAATAGTACACCGATGCCGTATCAGGGAATGAATTATTGTATGTAGTATTTCTTATGAAAGAGATCAATAATGCCGAGCAAGTATCGATTACACTTAAATTTTTTAAAAAGATTTGCAAGAAGTTTTGTAGTCACGATTTTTGATTCTGTGGTATTTACTGGGTAATAAACAAATGTCATGTTTTTGCAAACAGCACGTTTAACCAAGCGAAATGGAGTGTAAATACAAGAAAACCTGAGCTCAATATCACATGGGAATAACATGCTGAAGAGAGAAAGAGAGAGTGAACAGCGTGCGGTTAGGCATTAATGTGGTGGTAGTGCTTGTTTGTCAATGTGTATGTGATGTTGTATGCAGCAAATACCAACCGCCTGCTGTGCATGAAATTATGGTAAAGTTAAGATAAACCCCCCCGGGTTTACCTCCCGCCGGGTTTACCTACAACCTAACCTAACCTAACCAGAAATATATAGACGGAGAAATATGTATGCAAGATACGAACGGGAAGTCTGTCACCAAGAGACCTAAGGTCACAAACGGAAGGTTGGAAGGAGGTAAAGAAGTATACGTCGTGCAATGTGTACTAGAATGGTATTCCCACTGCCGGTCAAGCAGACTCACAAGACCGATCTACTGACGGCTATGGGTGTCTTGACCATAGTGAGAGGAGTAGCGGGTTACTACTTATTGCGGGTTAGTACTCTAAGCAGGATGATGAGTTTGTTGAGTTAAAATCAGATGGTAATGGATAACTGAGTATATTTACAATTCTTATTACTATTTATACAAATTTTTTAAACCAAAACATTATAATAGGTTTTCTAATCTAATAATTTGGAAGAACGAATCTTCAGTCTTCGTATTTGTGGCCTCCGGATTAGAATAGATTTATCCCCATTCTTCCTCAGGTGTCGTACAACACGTTTGAGGAATAAGCAATTAAATGAGGATGGACAACTACGATCGTCACCCGCCTGCCAAGAGTAGCGATTACGGCTAACCCAAAAGTGGGGTTGACGTATGTCCAGGAACGGACGTCTTGCTATTGAAATGATTATGGCGATGGGTCTTCACTGTACTTACAAGATAATAATCCCTATAGATAGTTATTAAATTCACACATACATTTATCATAAAACTTGAAAATTGCCCAACCGTTTAACAACACGCCGCACCGCCCACTGCCACGTCAGTTGCCATCGGGCCTTTGTCAACGTCTCCGCAGCGTCAGCGCCTCGTGCCGCTCTGCTGTACAATTGAGGCCGCTATTCATCACAGGCTCGTAACACTTCCCGCCGCAGTGCAGCAACTATTTGAAGCTTTTGACGTTTTCAGATTGTACAGATTTCTGTGTTCTTAGTTTCCGTAGACGTCTATAGGCGACAGCGATTCCGAGTGCACATTATACTGAATAGAATAATGATCGATATTGGGATCGTAGTAGTATGGTAGAGACTTAATTCATACACGCTTCTAAGTTTGATAGGGGACTAGAGCGAGATCTTTGTGTTCGGAGCTTGCAGACTCTCAAGATGTATAGAATGTAGTTGTATGGCAGGAACATTGTCTTTTGTTTCCTTCGGTATTGAGGGTAAGTTCATAATCTTCAACACCTGTTCTTTGACCACATCAAAGAACAGGTGTTGAAGATTATGAACTCCTTAGTGTTACTGACGGTGAATTCAGTGGCTTCTATAGAACGGCTATTTGGTATCGTGGCTAAATAACTCCCTTGTAAAGTCCTGTAGTGCTCTTGTCCACAAGAAATCTTCACTTTAGTTGATTTAGGGAAGCTGAAGTAGTAGTGCGTGTCGTCCAGCTGCTCCAGGGGCTTCTTTGGTAAGGGACACCATTGTCAACTTGCAGCTTGAGTCTCGTTGTTGCTTGGTGATTAAATACACAATCAAGTGAGTCCTTTATCCTACAGTTGATTTTTTTTTTGCATAGAAACCAAGGACCTACCAGGCATTTTGCCTCTTTGTACACAAAATCGTCTCAGTGAATGGCAAGGTATGGGAGGGGTGATATGAGGATTTGGTTATTCTTATTGGGAGCTATCGAAAGTTTGTATAAATCATATAATTCGGGGGACCTATCGAAACCTTTAGGGCTGTAACTACCTTATGTTTTACGTAATAATAACCTATTCTAATAATGTCGCAATATTCTCTCAAGTTTAATTCGAGAACTTCGCCTTTTCTGTAAAGTATTTTTAGCCTGTGTAACATATTTCTTGGTGTAAATTAAGTATAGAATGCAGTGCACCTAAAGCTCGGATGAGCACGAGGGTGCTCTCTAATTTGCTAAGTTCCTCCGACAAAGTTTCTACATTGTCTCCTAAGATTAACAAATATTATCCTAGGTGAGTGTATTTAATTAAATCGTCTTCTTTACGCTGATCGTGTGTCATAATCAAATTTAACACTTTACTTATTTTATTCTGATTATCTACCATTTCTTGAATTATTGTTTTAATTTTGTAGCATCCAATCTCTACCTCTACTTATACTGATGTGATTATTAAATTCCGACTCTAGTTTACTCTCATTCTCTTGCATCACTTGAATAGCTATATCATAACTTATGGGCTGTATAGTCGAGATTACCCGTAACGCTTTTCACAACTGCACCTAACCCAAACCTCTTGACGATGGAACTCAACGATTTTTAGTTGATCAGAAATTTTATTAAGTTTACTGGATAAATATTCGCCGTGTGACTCGTACAAGAATAATGTTTTATTATTAAGATCAGGTCTATTGCACTATGACAGTCAAATCCGAATTACAAAACTTTGTAATTCGGGTTTGACTGTCTTTGTTTTGAAGTATCTTTTTAAGTCAATGAACTGTAGGAAGGAGTGATAGTGAAAGATGACTTTAGTCCGTCCAAGTTTGAAGGGTATCGCTGGTTCATATTGTAACTCGTCAAGTGCTACATATGTCCTGAGCGCGTATCAGTAAGGGTAGAATCGTCAGTATTAGTCAATAATAATTGGAATTTATTAAGCCTCATCAGGCGGGATTGGCGACTCGATCTTTTTTCTTTTTGTATATATATAGGCAGGTCCGCTAAGACTATATCGGGGAGCTAGTTTCTGGTGTGAAACTAAAGGGTTTCGTACGTACATATGTTGTTTAGGGTGTATTCGTTCTCCTGTTCATGGTCTTTATTCCTAACAAAGACCAAGCTGTGTGAAGTCATGCAAGGATGTCTCATTCATTAATTCATAAACTTTAATCATGGATTTTTATGGTCTTGTATATATTGTTCTGATAAATCGATGTCAAGTGGCTCGCGACGATCAAAATGTGATGTAATCACGTTTAATGGTCTGCATTTCGTAAAACTATGAACTACCATTATAGGCCAAAAGAGGGTAAGGTGTAAGGTTGACAACCATTTCAGTACTATTTTCGAGTTCAGGATCCTTAAATGTTCTAGAAGGGCGCAGTGTAACCTTTCTACTATTCCATTGGCATTGGGTGTGTGCGCGAGTATTTTATGGTTGTCTACTTTATGGAGCTCGATGAATTCCGTGAAGAGTTGAATTGTGAATTCAGGTCCCTGACCCGAGACCATCCTAAAGGGTACATCATGGTGAGTAAAGAATTTTAGTAAGGCTTGTACTACGCTAAGAGCTGTGCTGTCTCAGAAATAATATGCCTGGACATATTTCGAAATGAATCAACTATTGTTAGGTATTTCTCGGTCTGTATGGTAAATAAGTCTAAATCCAAATACTTCAAAGGGCTTGGGCGGGGGTGGAACTATGCAAAAGTTTTGTTTGATCGGGTTCGATCATACTTGGATTGGCTATATATATTGCACTCATTGATATATTTAGTTATGTGGTCTTTCATTTTCGGCCAATAATAACGATTGGAAAGTGTAGGATAGCATTCATTAATACCATGATGGTTGGTTTTAGCCCCCTTGTGATATTTTTGCATGATTTCCTGCTGCTTTAAATAATCTTTAATGTACTCTAATTCTTCTACACTACTGGTGAGGATAAGATTCATGGAAGAGTTTTTAAAGTTGCTCTGTATTATCGGAATAATTGAATACATATGTAGCTAATGTGGGATGTATTAATATAACTGTTTTTACCTCCGGATTAACATATTCTTTTACAGTATTTATGACGTTCAAGGTTGGATTCAGAAAATTGGATTGTGGTTTAGGTGTGAGTTTCGAATGTCTCACTTACTATAAGCCGTTTTGTGATGTCACCTAATATTACAAAGCTTATCTGTCTGTTGAACTTGTTTAAAGGCTCATCGGATATTGGTAATTCTAATATGGGGTTTTCGGTACTTGTGTGGACAGTGAATGTTGTTGAATTATTTCCAGATGAGTGCCTTTCTGAAGGGTTAACTGCAAGGGAGCCGGTCTCCTCATTGTGAATTTCAACTCGCGATAGCGCATCGGCATTAAGATCCACATTTATGTGGGATTGCTAGATCTGAACGCATGTATTAATATGATTTAGGCAATGGGTGAACGTATCTTGACGTGGGAGTGAGAGGAAAGGAGTGTACAAGCGAGAGGGATGGTTTGAAATTATAGACTAGAAGACGTGCGCGATCGATTTTGTTTTATATTTTGGTAGGAGATGGATGAACCTCGACCAAGGAGCAAGAATAAACTATTTCAGACTTTAACCAAAGAAAAGGGATAAATTCCTTTTCTTTGATTATCCCACATTTATACGGCGAACGGCTATGTGGTATGGAGTGAATAGGCATTATTTAGGTGTGCATGTTCCATCGTCCACCTCAACATCACTTTTCATCGGATGAGATGGAGGTCAAAATGGTCAAATGCGCACTTATTTGTTTCTTTTAAACTTCACAATGATGAAAGTTTTTAGTGCAGATTTTAGTGCCTAAATAATAAAGTACTTTTTGAGAATTAGAAAATCATCAGACTCTGGTCTCTTACAACTCTTGAATAATAATTGGATTAATTTTGGTTTCTGGAATTACTAACAGTGAGTTATTAAGACCTTGACATAAATAGAAAAAAAATGATAACAAAAACAATCGGCAGGAATAAAATATGCAAAAATAAACGTACAAAATATAAATAAATCATAATGTTATTTCATTAATTTCAACACATGCACTTGAAGTATATTTATTATTCGTAAGTTGAAATGAATATCAGGATTATACTAAAGATCGACATAATCACAGAAACCCAAATTCAATAAAACTATCAACAATTCCTTTCAATTTAATTTGAAATTTCTTAATCGTTTCAGGATTTGACCTTGACAGCTTAGTTTGTTCGGCTATGTCGTTTAATTCGTCTGTAGTCATATCGGCATGAACTTCTTTCATTACTTCTTTCAATCTAGCGGCATCTGCTGTATCTCTGACCAGCACTGTAGTTAACAAAACACTTTCGCCAAGAAAGAACTTGGCGAATCTACGTAAGTCTGCATCAAGTTGATCTTTAGAATAAACGTAATTGGCCTTTAGTCCAAAGTTGGCCAAGCTTTTATCCAATTGTGAGTGATAATAATCGATCCAGTCGTGGAAATGCTCCGCTCTCGTAGCGTAGTCGGTGCAATTAAAGATCATGTAATGTAGGTCAGCGACGGGATTACTCTGTTTAGAGACTTGGTAGTCGATCACACAGCACTCCACGCTTCTGTCATCCTAAAAATAATAAAAAGATATGAAAATGTTCATTAATAGATACTATTCAATTATTACACTCATCATTATCACACAGCACTTAAACTAAAACTGAACGTAATTAAAAAATGGAAAATGTAAGTGAACAGGCGTGAAAGCGTGTACCGCTGCTGGTACCGCTTGGAATGTTCGACAGGATTGTAATGTTGAAGGGAGAGTATAGTGGTATCCGCAACCTCTGCAGCCGATATGTGGAGGCTTAGCGAGTTTAAAGTTCAAAATTCAAAAGGGTAAAGAAATAGTGGTAATAAATCCACTTTTATAAATATTTGTGATCTTTAAAATGTTTATCGCGCAAGAGATCTGCTAAACGGTTCAAAAAATGTTCGCTGCCGCGATCGGGCAGGAGGTAACGATGGAACGAAACAAAATTGGAATGGCGAGGCAAAGGAATTATTAAAGAACGATTAAAATTTTTTTTTTTTTTTTTTTTTTTTATACCTGACAGGCAAATGACTCCACTCCACCTGATGTTAAGTGGAAAGTGGTATCCAAACGCGAAGGAACCTAGTGCAGCGATGGAATCCTCAAATTTAAAAACGAGTGGCCAGGAACCGGAGAAACGGCGATAAAAAGGTAGGATAACGATGTAAGGAGGTCACATCGTTACAGGCGTAACCACTACTATTATTATCTTTTTTCTTACTGAATGGCTTGTGAGACTACTTAGTCTCAATTCTGCCAGTGTCCGTTTTCTAGTTTCATAAACGTTATGGAGGGTGTGTTAGAATTTTGTTCGGTGACTCAGAGGTATAATCGAAGAGATTTTTGCACAAATTGAATTCTAGAACAAAAGAGACGGCACAAAGTAGACAACACAAGTCGTTAGAAACCACTATTATTATTGTGCCTCATTTGTTTCGTTCCTTTGAAGGTACTACTGAGACATTTTTGTTACTCAAGATATACAAAAGAGCTCGTTTAAATATCGCATCACTTGCTGAGCTTCAGATCCAGGCATCCTTTCCATCCTTATACGCTTGTCGATCTTTTGCCATTAGAAAAGCACACATTTGGGCCTGACTCCACACAATATCTAGAGCCTGACTGCTACCGAATTTGGTCAGTTTATCTTTTGGATGATATTCTACTGCCATGTATTGCAGTATGTATGTATGTATTGTAATATAGAAGGACACAGTACCCTAAAGTTTTTAAAATAATATCTTCGAAGACTTTCTTTGAATAATAACGGTATAGTAATCGATATAGAGTGACTCAATCTTGTTTTTTGCGCACAATATTGCGATGGCTATGGATGATGTCAACGTTGTGATCGAATAGCTTATTACTAAGTTAAAATGTCAACGGTATTTACTGTGAAAATCTTAGAATAGTTAATGTTTTAATAATGAAATTATCACACAATAAAAATGCAACAATGATTTTTTCTAATAAGTTACACTTGCACTAATGTATTTTTATTATATATATTTGCATTCTTACCTCAAATCTAAACATAATATTGTTTGTCCAAGCGTCTCCTTTTTGAATTACAGAGTGCTTCGAGCCGGCGTCAAATTTAGCCAATTTCGGTGCTTGAGCAATCATTTGTACTAATGCGTTTTTGACTGCCTTTTTGTGCTTATCGTTGTCTAATAATATTTGCACTTCAGCGTCAAGCTGAGCAAACCATTGAATCGGTTCAGGAGCTTTGGCCATTAATAACCAAAGATTGACAAGATTTTTACAAAATATTTCAAATGTTTCAGGTTCTTTATATCTCAAAACATATGACAGGGAATGTAAAATTGCGATATTTTTAAGAAATAATCTCACATTTTCATCAGTTAATGAGGAGAATTTGTCTAGAATTTTGAATCCCGGTACTGATAAATCTTCTAGAAGAATAATTTCGTTTGGTGCGTCCATGTAAGTTCCGTAGCAAGCTGCATATTTAAGTCTTTCTTCTTGCGGAATATTTGCAGCGCTTTCTAATTCAGTAAATTTTGGTAACACTTGGGTGTACATAATATGCTCATTCATAAATAAAAAAGCAGTATTTCCAATATTGCGCATCATGTCACTCTTAGGTGCGACTTTAGCAATCATCTTAAAGGTTTTACCATCCTTTTCCACAGTGATTCTCTTCACGTTAGCTACATAGTTGTCATCTGCTTTGCCTACGGGTTCTACATGAATATTAACATGTTTAAATCCGTGTTCTTCAACAATATTAGTAATCAACTTCCTTTGTTCTTCAGATAATTCGCTAATATCACCAATAAACTGTAATACCACCATTTCTTTGTACTTGAGAGTATTTAATAGTGTTTTATTTTTATTTTATGCAACAATGACTTCAAAACTGGTCAAGAGCTTACATTTATATGATTATTGTTATCTTTGACAAGATAATCATAAATATAAAATAGTACGCCGATTCCGTATCGGCGAATTATTACTAAGTATGTATTCTTCTTGTTAAGTTAACGTCTTGTATTATGAAAGAGATCATTATCGTCGATGGAGTATCGATTAGACTTCAATTTGTGAACAAGTAAAAGGTTTGCAAAAAAGTTATTTAGTTGGTTTAAGTGGTTTTTTTCTGGGTAACAAACAATCCTGGTTCCAAAAACTCAAGAAGATCGAAGATGAGGTGATACCATGTTTCTGAAAACAGCACGTTTAACCGAGCGAAGTGGAGGGAAAATGCATGAAAACCTGACCCCACTGTCACATGGGAACACTGGCGAGGCGTGAAAGTTGTCCTTGGTAAAGCCGAAGCTTTACCAAGGACAATTTCCACGACTTTAACCTTAGCTTTAACTTTTTGAAAAACAAAAAACACATTACTCTAACAAAAAAATATTTTCCCGTTAAATAGGCACAACACAAGCACAACACTTATTAGGACACTTGTGTCTTCTACTATCTACTATACGTATCTTGATACTTTACGATAGTTCACTTCATTTCACAGGATAATTTATTCTACACATAGTTTGCGATCACTACTGTAGATGTCTCTTCGCGGAGTTATTTCAACGCACGTTGGAACTATGTTATTGTCGCGGCACTTTTTGAGAAAAGTTAATGTAGTTAGGGCGCGCGCACGTTTGTTCTTGAGGTCTTCGAACATGTCATGGTTAAACCTACACATTCAATGAAGTTTGACAAACCCAGGTCCTTGCAAAAGAAGATTCATTCAATAAAATAATTTGTAAAACTTAATGTAGCGTAAATTGGAATGTTTTCTTTGTAAAATTAAAAATAAGGTATTTAAATAATAACTATTGTAACTATAGTGAAAAAATAGGGTGGTTTGTATTAATATTAGACACAACTGGTTGAAGACTGTACCACCTCAGTCAACCGTGACCATGGGACCTGTAAAGGGCCCGAAACGTCGGTTTGTTTGAAAAAGACAAATATACGTGATTTAAATCCGGAAAAATAGTTTCGTTTTCTAAACTCTATTTTACTTAAATAAATGTTAATTGTTCTATTTAGAACTGAAAACCAATGACCCGAAAAATTATCTAAATGATCATAAAAGTCATAAAATTCCGAATCGATTTCTCGTGAAAATCGTCTAATACGGTTACCGATACGTTTAGTCCACATCCCTATACGTCGCGATGACAAGTGTAAAAGGTGCCTCTTATTTTGTGACGACTATAGTACCACAATTTAAATTGGTTAGACTGTAGAAGTCATGTGAATAAAAGAACTTTGGAGCTTTTCTTCAATGTCCGAGCAAGCACAAGACGAAGTAACGAACTAGAACATGGACCTAGTTCAGTTGACCGAATATAAGCAGGTTCAGGCACAAGTCTAATTGCGAATTGGAACAAGCGGGCAGGGATTCACATCGTCGGCACCACTATATAGAGAAACAAAATTTCTCGCCACCGCAATATATGAATATTTAAATGCAAATTAAAACAAAAGCACTGAAATGTACGCCAAGACTAAAGAAGTCTATTTTATCTAAATTTACTTCGTATTGTAAGACGTGTATTAAATATATACTTCCGGACACATATTTCGAGTCACCTCGCATTTTTGTCTTAAAGGGCTAGAATACAAACGTAGTGTTATCGTCGAAGAAATACTTTTCCACCGGTTTTGCAAATCTAAATTTCCTACAAGGATTTATGGCAAAGACGTTTATTATACTAGTTTCAAAATTGCTCGATAGTTTTTGAGCAATCAAACATTGTTTAAGTTTAGGGCATTTAATACTGAAAATGCGAGGTGGCTCCAATTATGTGTCCGGGAGAGTATATAAACGAACTTTTAACGAGAAACCGAAAATAACATAAGAAGGTTAGAATGAATAATGATTCAGTGTATGGGTATGTCGGTTTCGGTAGCAAACGTACTCTCCTTACCAAAAAAATAGGAGCACACAATAAGGCATATAATCATTAGTGGACGACCTACCTTCGTTAAGAGATTTTGGGTGATTCTGCGATCATAACAAGGGAAAAACCAAAACCGAGAGTTCATAAAGACTACGTCGATGTTGAATTTTTTGCATAAAATGTTCTAGGTATGCTGATCGTGCTACGTTATTGGTGGTTGATATTTTGACTTTTTGTATTATGAAAATTGACGTGCTTGCTAATTCTAGTAGTAACTTAATACTGTATTATTAGTAGTGCGGAGACTGCCTATTGCAAAACACATAAATTGATAGTGATTAGTGACCACTAATCTATTGTACACGTAATACCAAAGGCGGCAAATAAGTTCACATGTACTTCATTAAAGAAAAATATTTTTTTATATTTTTTATCAGACTTCCTCGTAAGTAGTATCTGCAGCAAAACTAGACGATATGTTTTATCAAGGCGATTGAAGTTTTTTTATTTAAATTCCGCCCGCTAGAAGCTCGGGTAAACTGTCGGCCACCGCCCGAAGTCATGCCCCGTTCGCTCCGCTTTTTTGCGCCCAATAACAAGTGTAATTTCATAAAATATTTTTAAAAGGTATATACTTATAAGTACCATAGTATTTACATCTATACAGTCCGACATCTTGTACAGGGTCATTTGTAATATGCTAACAACCTCGCAGGACGATGTTAGTAACGTAATAAATAACAATATTTGTTCCATGTTCCATTTTACGAAACATAATACATTTACCAAATATAAACTTTTGAGTTTTTGTTGTAGGTACTATAAGACATTTTTTAGAGCGATTACACACGGCGAGTTTTCGCGGTGAAGCAAACGCGATACAGTAGCTAATCGTCTATCTTTAGGAGCGATGCAAACGCGCGACGACATATAAATAAATAACAAGTATACCGATGCCATTGTACGCTTCACGAACGCGCGTTTGCATCACTGCTAAAAGTTTGTAACCACTCTTAGATCTGTATTTTTCGCACCGCCCTTCGCGTCCTGTCATTCATAAAAATAAATTTGGTAGTGGGTGCTTTCTTTTACTACCGCACTGAGTTATCACCATATCGAACGATCAATTTAAATATTTTTATTTTTGTACGAAAGTAAAATTTTACGAATTATTAAAAAATCATGAAACAAAAGTTGTCGTTCATGATGGTAGTGATACAGCCCTGTGAGATTGCAAGTATATTATAAAGAACCCTGTGTAAATATTTTGCATGCCACTGAACTATAAATCGGATGCAATTTCTTGCAAACTATTCCAGTGAAAAAAGGTTAATGTAACTTTAAAAAATTGTAATGTCACTATAAATATAAACATTTATTCAACATTTTGTAAATATAGTATTTAAATAAATTTTTACGTCCAATTTTACTTTTGTTGACTTCCTCACTTGTGTGATGGAAAACATTGTATGCCATACGGACGGAACAACAATTACAAACATTTGAATGTCCCTCTGTTCGTAATTGCCTACTAACCGCCCGATATGACACAATGTACTACTGTCATTAAATCTGTATTTAACAACACTCCCTTTATATTTACACATCATGCATACTAAATTATTCTTCGTTTTTTGTTATACGAGTACAGAAATAACTATCTGAACCTGATTTAGAATATCCTTTACAAAGGTCAGGTAAAAAGCAATCCCAACAAACGGGCGTGTACGAGAAGACGAATGGAGGTGCAACCACGGAGGTCCCTAAGGAATTCACAGACAAACATCTCATATACGAATACTGCCTTGAAACAGATACATGAGATATCGAACAAATGAAAAATAAGTGATGCTTCAGCCATCTAGGGTTTTGAGATATATCATTACATTTTAACAAACGGTGATTAAGTTTAATTTTACGTAATTACCAGGAGCGGCTGATGAGTCCTGTGGGGCAGTCGTAAAGAAGAGATGTGGCAATAACTTGTCACCTCTTCATCATTCCACGCCAAGTTCTAAAGGGCAAATACTGCATGATGTGATACATATATCTCACATATGGGAGTATTTTATATAAAAATTTAATTACAATAATACATTGTGTTATAAGGGCAGTAAGTACGCAATTACGGACAGAAAGTTCTAATCATAAGATGTAACAAAAATCTAATCAAAGCATTTTAAGAACCTTGTCACAGATAACAATTTGATATAAAAATACTGCTCATACCCATTTTAAATTTATTGCTGATTAAAGTCGATCAATAAAATTTATATAAACTTTTACAATGGTTGAATTTCAGTTTGTCGATGACATAAATGACTTAAGTGTAGAGCAAATGGATTTAATTACCAATGTGTTACAAAAGCGAGGTTTCAAAACCGGTAAAATTCAAGTGCAACCAGTAGGCAAAGCAGGAGACAACTAAGCAGCCAACGGGAAAATAATCACAATAGAAAGTAATGGTGACACGTTCAAAATCATTGCTAAAGTGGCTACAAAGCAGGATATGATGCGTACTTTGGGAATTGGTTCTTAAAAATTTCGCTAGTTTACATTCCTTATCATACGTTTTGAAGAATAAGGAACCTGAAAAATTTTAAACATTCAAAAATAAACTTGTTGATTTCTCGTTACTAATGGCTAGCGTTCCTGAATTCGCTAATTTGTACATTCAGATGGACGAAGATGTACAAAAATTGTTACATGGTATCACATACAAGACAATACAAACACAATACAAGAATGCTGTTAAAAATGTAACAACTCAGATGATTACATATGCTACAAAATTGGCTAACATAGAGCATGACTCGAAATTCTCCGTAATTCAACAGGGAGATGCTTGGACTAATAACGTTATGTTCACTTGAAGTGTGTATCCGTTTGTATCATTATCAAATCCAATTTCTTTCTTTTTTCAAAATTTTTGGTTTTTGTTCATAATGACCGATCGTGTCTTAGTTACGTATATAAAATTTAGTTTATTCAATAGAATAAAGAAGATTTTACCCACAATGATGTATTTATGCAAATGATATTGGTATTTTTTTTGTTTATTTCAGAATGATAAAACTGTGGGGTGTTGTATGATCGACTACCAAGCCTCGAGAGTAAGAAGTCCCGTCGCCGACCTATATTACATGATCTTCCAGTGCACTGATTACGCAACGAGAAAGAAGCATTACGATGACTGGATCAATTATTATCACTCGCAATTAGACAAAAATTTGTCCAACTACGGACTTAAAGCTAACTACACACGTAGAGATAAACTAGATGCAGACTTAAAAAGATTTGCCAAGGCGTCTATTGGTCAAATTATCTTTGTGACCATGGTTATATTCAGAGAGTCAGCTAATGCCGCTAAATTGCAGGATGCGATGAAAAAAGTAGACTCTAACACATCTATGCAGGAAATAGCCGATCAACTTAAATTGTCAGGAGTAGATACGGAAACTATAAAGAAATTTCTATCTAAAATTGAAGGAGTTATTGATAGCTTTATTGAGCTTGGATATCTTTAGCTACAATATCTGAATATGGCACAATATCTACAAAAAACATGTAGAATAATTTTTATATTGTACAGTGTTCCGCATCTATGTATCTACACTGAGATATTGAACATCGATGGTTTTTAACATTTTTTATTATAAATAGAAACTAACACAAAATACTATAGCTATGGTTACAAATGTGTGGTAAGGGTTCTGTACTCAGTATATGCTGAGCCGACTTGGTTTGCATAGTACTGATGTTCAGCCAGAACCTCCCAGCAGGAGCTATGATCGCACAGTTGTGTACCAGAACATTTCATCAAATAAATTATCACAGACCATAAATTAAGATTCTATAACTAACGCTTTGAAACATAATGTGACAGCTTAGGTTAAAAGAGATATTATTTCATATACAGAGCTTCTATTTTCTCAATGTCCCTCGATAAACGTCGTGTTTCGGTTTCATCGGGTTTTGTTCAGATTCGCTTTGCTTTTGGTACAGACCGAACGTTTTCAGTCGACTTAGAAGTATGTAGAGTTGCTATTACATTTTTTATTTACCCTATAAAATATTGTAGAAAATGGAATAAAGTATTGATTGATTGATTAATATTTATTATACAATCGGATGAAAGCCGCTAGTTACAAAAACGGCAAATAATTTACAGCGTGTATTTCCGGTTTTTACAAGCCGATATGTTCAAGAAACAATAGCTATTTTCAAGAAGTCCAAAAACGTGTTTCCTTGGCTTGCGGAAATTTGAACCACTGTTTGAACCGTACATGGATAATTTTATAAGAAATACCTGTTCGAGCAGCGCGGAAAGTGATTATTCCATTGATGGCGAACATACTAACATAGCTATGTCAGATGAAAAAATGCGTTCAGATACGGAATGAATTGAAATGATTAATAACCGGAAAAATATTCATTTTTAGTTACATAAAAGAGGTACACTTTATTTACTTTCTATTTTAGGTAACTTGTTTATTGACATGGAGTAAATGTTATTAAAAATAGGGAAATAGTTTTCCGCACATAGTTCACAAAGAAATCAAAAGATATAACAATAAAGAACGTTGTTCAAAATTCAAATGAATATAGATTTTAAATGTAATCTGCCATCCACTAACTAAAACGCGGCGAAGGGACAAATGGTCAAATAACCGTTCTAAAAACAGTTGAAATTAGTTAATGTCTTACCCTAACGATGCGTAGCTGAAATTTCAAAAACTGGATTATAGTTTTTCTATGGCATCTCAAAAAAATATTTTTCTTATCTATTATTATATATATATATATAATATTTATTTCATGTATTCCTTTCCTGTAAGCCTGGCGAACCACGGGCATTATTCGATGAGTAGCCAAGATCTATTTATTACCAAATCCTTTCACCACGATTGCAAACATTATATAAGTACTGTATACCATCGATACATTCAGAAGGAGCAGCAGTTACATTTCATAAGGAATAACATTATTTAACATAATAATATAGTAACGAAATAACGTTGACACGAGGTTAAAATAGCCATCATCGTTATGGCATCTGGAACTCAATTTGAACTAACAAGTGGCGATCACATTAAATCATGATCTTATAGTAATAACCAGAACTATTTGTTCTTTAAATACATATTTGATATGTAAAAATGTATTTGTAAATAAATTACTACTTAAAAAGTATTTTGTAATTGTTTTTTTAAAATATATCTGACAAAAATGGGTTTTGTAATTGATATTTAAAATACTTCCAATAAAACTCTGCTGATAATGATAGTATTTTGTATTGTATTAAGTCAAAATTTTGCACTTTGTATTTCATACTTTATATACATTACGAAAGTATTTTGCAATTTACATTATCTTTGAGAACACGGAAACTAACACTATTATGTACATCGTTTGTTTCAAAATTCCACGAGTTCAAAAACTCGTAAATTTCCATACCAAAAGGCCCAAATTAGTTGGAATACGCAAAACAATAATAATTATCAAATTATGTAATTTGAAAATATGGTCTGTTGTAGGGTAGTTTGAATTTGTCCCATGGGACATAACGTTTTCTCAACAGCACAACATAATAGCATTACCGAGCCCACGTCTCACTGACGTCATGGAACAAAAATGGAGGTCTGTTTTATTTCAAAATTGTTTCAAGTTATGTTTTATACAAAGATAAGAAAATTTGAGAAAATAATAATATTAAGTAAATTTTTATTGAATTGATATTCAATTATTTTTTGTGAAATTACTCCACTAGTTTGTTATAATTATTAATACAAAGATCGAACACTCAGAAAAAACACTCGGAAAAAATTCCTTCGATCCGGTCGGATTCGAACCGACGTCTTCTTGCATACCGTGCCAGACGCTATACCAACTAAGCCACGGAATGCACCAACGGACCTCACGAATTCTTCTATGTGCTTGCGTCGTGTCTTTGTACTTGGTCTTTCAACGACTTTTTAGTCGTAGCGCCATCTATGAGAAATCTATGACAGATTTATCACCCAGTTAGTACCTTTACAGCTACCGGTCCTGGCGAGAGATGTCGCTATCCACTGTATTAATAAAATTTTATATTTTTTGTGAAATTACTCCACTAGTTTGTTATAATTATTAATACAAAGATCAAACACTCAGAAAAAATTCCTTCGATCCGGTCGGATTCGAACCGACGTCTTCTTGCATACCGTGCCAGACGCTATACCAACTAAGCCACGGAAACGAACCAACGATATGATAAATCTGTCATACGACTATAAAGTCGTTGAAAGACACGACGCAAGCACATAGAAGAACTACAAAGACACGACGAAAAAATAAGAACTACAAAGACACGACGCAAGCACATAGAAGAATTCGTGAGGTCCGTTGGTTCACTTGTCAACCTATGTCTCAGTGTGCCGAGTGCAATGGCAGTGCGCCTTAGGTCTCTGCGATTTAAAGAGCTGAGTGGCAATGCAACTGTTATGGACAGGTGTGTAGCTTACCATCAGGCGCTCGACTTGTTCATCCCGTCACTCGATATTATAAAAAAAACCCTGGGGGAGTTATGTGGATTTGTTGTCCATGCAGATCTCCTGGGGATTCATAAACTGATCTCAAATACACACATCAAAAGTGTCTAGGGATCAAGTGAATATTTTTGAAATAAAAATTATTTAAGCAATATTTACCAAATCCAGTCTTCCAGGACGACTTCTTACTTTAATGCTTATGTTTTATTTAACCGCTTACCCCTATATTTAATTAAAATAAACTAAAATTGATGTTTTTGCAAATTGTGGGAAAAAACTCAAATTAACGGCGTCAATTAAATGACAAAAAAATGGCGAAAATGATGATTTTACTCATTTTTATTGTAAAGATAAGAAAATTAATAATCTGTATTTCCACCATTAACACGAATCACACAATTACAGCGATTTGGCATGCTTAAGATGAGTTCATCAAAATCACTTTGAGGAATGGCCGCCCATGTGTTTTGTAACAAGTCAAAATATTGTTGTAGAGTATGTACGGTATGCATACTCGGCACAGCTCTTCTTTTAAGCATATCCCATGCGTGCTCAATTGGATTGAGGTCTGGCGATTGAGCAGGCCACGGCAGAACGTTGATACGAGCTTCGGCAAGAATGCGTGTTACGACTCTAGCTGTGTGTGGACGTGCGTTGTCATGCATTAGTTGAAATGAATCACCCAACTGGCCTCGCAAAGGGATGATAACATCTGAAACAATCCTCTCTGCGTAAATTTGAGCATTGAGGTTACCCCTGATCCAAATGGGATCGGTTCTTCCGCCGATCCAAATACCGGCCCATATCATTATTGTTCCCCCACCATATGGATGAACTTCCTGACAATATCTCAAACGTTCATGACGTCCAGATGTTCTCCAAACTCGAGTACGTCTTGTATCCGGTCTCATACCGAAGCGGGATTCATCCGAAAAGCACACATAGCGCCAGTCTTCTTCCTCCCAGTTTCTGTGTTCGTGAGTCCATCGTAAACGGGTCCTGCGATTGCAGGGTGCAATAGGTGGAACTCTGAGCGGCCTTCGGGATCGCAGACCCACTTGACGTAAACGATTTCGGATTGTTTGATCGCTTATTAGCAAGCCTGAGGAGCTGTGGAGCCTCGTAACCAACATCATGGCGGTAACGGTACGATTCCGTCGAGCAGTATTTTGGATATACCGGTCCTGTCTGCGACTCGTGATGCGAGATCGTCCTCCATGTCGCTCGGCCACGCTGCCCGTCATGCGATAGCGCGTCTAGAGGCGACTTATGACGCTCTGTGTAGTGTTAAGAGTGAAAGTCACAGCACGTTGCCTGGAACCAGCTTCCAACATTCCGACGGCTCGCATCATCACTTCTCGGGTTAAATGATGTCGTCTCTCCATAATAATGTAAATTGTTTCGGTTCCGATGCAGATATTGTAATGATTTTGTCAAAATGCTATAACTCATTTTTATACAAAACCACATTGACAATCGATTTTCTTCTTATTATCGAATTTTAAACAATATTCCTTATTTAAATGTTAAAACTCACTAAAAAGTATCAATAGCGATACAAAAAAGTTAATATAATTAACCCTAATTGCAGCAATACTCTTAAACGTACTTGATCCCTAGACACTTTTGATGTGTGTATTTGCTCATCCGCTTTCGCTGTTTTCGTAGTCTCGGTCTCCTCCACGACCATTGAAACGTGGATAAGCAAAATCTCGTCAAAACGAATCATCTCCCAAACAAGGAATTTCTCTCATTTGTCTGCCATTTGCATCATCAGATCAGCTCTAGGTCACCATAATGTTTTACTTTCACCGGAATCACATCTATGTACCAAGTTTTATTAAAATCGGCTTACAGAAAGTGAGCGAAATCCAATAAACCGGATCCATCCCGTAATTTGTCACCTGCACTACATCGGATTCGTATGATTATCCTTCAAAGCCGGGACACAGTAATGCTGACATTACTGCTTGGTGGGATAAAAAGGTAAGGTGGCAGTACTACCCTGGATGAACTTTTCACAAGGAGCTCTAAATGACGGTCCGAAATGTCACAGGGATCATTTTATCTTTAGGTGTACAAACGATATACGTATTTTCTCGGATTCGGATGGGACTTAGTGCACAAGCGACATCCGAAGTGGGTCCGAGTTTTCTGAATTTGTGTTGTCTCGGATTCGGAATGAATACGAATCGGTTACAGAGCGCAAACGCGCTTAGTCGGTTAAAAATTGTCCCATTCTGTCCGAACATCATGTTCGACGTCATATTCCACAAAACCAAATGGGAACTACTTATCCCTGTTGTCTTTCTTTTACTGTATGAAACTAAAATACACGAGACTTTTCGAAACTGATTTTTACACGGCAATGTATGCCTAGTAGATCTTTCCATACAAACCGGTATACTAAAAAACTATACGAACAATTGGAATGAAAATTTGTACATTATAATAGTAACTGAATAAATAAATATAAATAGGTATAGGCAAGCATGCGCCTCAAATTTAATATTTTTATCTATAGGTACGTAACCCGGCCTTGCTATTTAATCTCTTACGTCAATTAATATAATCATATGATGACTTTACTAATAGGTATAAATACAACCAGGACAAAGAATTTTGATATGTATTAACTACATGTTTTTCTTTGAAATCTTTATCCGCAATGCGCTTTATTAAATTATATTTTCAACATCATCGGCCTTTCTTGTGCAAACGGATGAGTTACAAAGACACTCTATCGCGCTTGATACGGCAATCGAGCGCAGTTAAGCGTACGACAGCGAGTGAAGTCTTTCCCGCGCGCAATCCTATATTCTCCTGATCACGCGCGATAGAGTGACTGTGTAAAGGGGGCTAATAGAGGGCGTACACAAACGTTTTTTCGCGTCATACAACAATCGTGCGCGATTAAACATGTTGGAAGGGAAAAGGAAAGACTGCGCGATTGCACTCATCAGTCGCACACGCTATCGTACGTTCCAAGGTTGCATTTTACACGGACGCTCTTCCGTTGTAATAAAAACTAACACGAGCGCGCGAAAGAACGTTAGCTTAAAACGCTTCAAAAAGGTAATCGCGCACGATTGCGCGTGCAGGCTTTCCCGCGCGCAATCCATGGGGCCTACAATTTTATTTCAATGTAAGCTTATTATAATATTACTCATATTCGTACCATGACGAACCTGTCAACCAAGAAATGTATTATTTCAAAAGTGATTGAAAGAACGAATGATTTCCCAACATTGTCTATTCCTTAATAAAAATAGGAAGGAGGTAACGCTATGTGAACTACATAATGCCATCTCTTCCTTTTTTGATGTTCCGAATCGTCTTATCGTATAATAATGTTTAAGTACTTAATGTTATTTATATTCAGAGAATTTTACCTGCCAAAAAAAAGAAGATTGTAATAATGAAATCTATGTGAAGTGAAACAAACAAGTTTGGGAGATGATTCGTTTTGACGAGACTTCGCTTATCCGCGTTTCAATGGTCGTTGAGGAGACCGAGACTACGAAAACAGCGAAAGCGGATGAGCAAATATTTGAGGTCAGTTTATGAATCCCCAGGAGATCTGCATGGACAACAAATCCACATAAATCCCCCCAGGGTTTTTTTTATAATATCAAGTGACGGGACGAACAAGTTGAGCGCCTGATGGTAAGCTACACGCCTGACCATAACAGTTGCAGTGCCACTCAGCTCTTTAAATCGCAGAGACCTGAGGCGCACTGCCATTGCACTCGGCACCCTGAGACATAGGTTGACAAGTCTCATGTGCCTGTAATTTCACCAGCATCCTTACTCTTCAAAACCGGAACCAGTAATGCTGGCACTACTGCTTGGCGGCAGAAATAGATAAGATGGCAGTACTTCCCTGGACGAACTCTTTCACAAGGAGCTCTACTAAAGGATTTGTGGGCGAGAATTCTTTGAACGGAGAGGTTTTTTTTGTAAAAAAATATTATTATTTTCTCAAATTTTCTTATCTTTGTATAAAACATAACTTGAAACAATTTTGAAATAAAACAGACCTCCATTTTTGTTCCATGACGTCAGTGAGACGTGGGCTCGGTAATGCTATTATGTGGTGCTGTTGAGAAAACGTTATGTCCCATGGGACAAATTCAAACTACCCTACAACAGTCGATATTATCAAATTACATAATTTGATAATTATTAGGAAATGAAACTATTTTTCCGGATTTAAATCGCGCATATTTGTTTTTTCAAACAAACCAACGTTAAGGGCCCTTTACTGGTCCCATGGTCACGGTTGACTGAGGTGGTACAGTCTTCAACCAGTTATGTCTAATATTGATGCAAACCACCCTATTTTTTCACTATAGTTACAATAGTTATTAATTAAATACCTTATTTTTAATTTTACAAAGAAAACGTTCCAATTTACGCTACATTAAGTTTTACAAATTATTTTATTGAATAAATTTTTATTAAGTTCAATTTATTATTAATTAATAATAGAAATTAGAATAAACTAAAACATATTAATTAGTACTGCAGTCTTATGTCTGTTTGGGATTTTTCATGAGAGGAAATACTGGATCCCAAACTGGTGGTACTGAGAAACCATCTTCCCTGTTGAAATTAGGATGTTTTTTTAATTTCAATGGCCTCTCGCAGCATCCTCGGTAGATAATGGACTTCTTTTGCAAGGACCTGGGGTTTGTCAAACTTCATTGAATGTGTAGGTTTATCCATGACATACTCGCAGACTGCAGACTTGTTTACGCGACTTGGGTACAAATACCTCGCTTTGTTTGTCCAATATAAGAGAGACCGCACTCACAGTCAAGCTTGTGAACTCCTACATCCTGTAAGGGGATGTTACATTTCATGGGTCTCAGGAACTGAGAAATTGAGAAGATTTGAAAAATAGTTTCATTTCCTATGTGTAACAATCGCGAAAACCTAAGAACTTGATAATTATTATTGTCTTGCGTATTCCAACTAATTTGGGCCGTTTTGTATGGAAATTTACGAGTTTTTGAGGTCGTGGAATTTCGAAACGACGTACATAATAGTGTTTATTTATTTATTTTTTATTTATTATAATATAAACATAACAAAAGTAACCTTAGTCATCTAGTACAAATACACATTATGTTAGTATGTTCACCATCAATGAAATAATCACTTTCTGCGCTGCCCGAACAGGTATTTCTTATAAAATTGTCCATGTACTGTTCAAACAGTGGTTCAAATTTCCAGAAGCCACAAAAACACGTTTTTGGACTTCTTGAAAATAGCTATCGTTTCTTGAACGTACCGGCTTGTAAAAAACACAAGTACACGCTGTAAATTATTTGCTGTTTTTGTGACTTTAGCGGCTTTCCTCCGTTTGTATAATAAATATCAATCAATCAATACTTTATAGCGTTTTCTACAATGTTTTACAGGGTAAATAAAAAATGTAATAGCAACTCTGCCTATTTCTAAGTCGACTGAAAGCGTCCGGTCTATGTCAAAAGCAAAGCAAATCTGAACAAAACCCGATGAAACCGAAACACGACGTTTATCGAGGGACATTGAGAAAATAGAAGCTCTATATATGAAATAATATCTCTTTTAACCTGAGCTGTCACATTATGTTTCAAATCGTTAGTTATAGTATCTTAATTTATAGTCTGTGATAATTTATTTGATGAAATGTTCTGGTACACAACTGTGCGATCATAGCTCCTGCTGGGAGGTTCTGGCTGAACATCAGTGCTATGCAAACCAAGTCTGCTCAGCATATACTGAGCACAGAACCCTTACCACACATTTATAAATAGCTATAGTATTTTGTGTTAGTTTCTATTTATGATAAAAAATGTTAAAAACCATCGATGTTCAATATCTCAGTGTAGATACATAGATGCGGAACACTGTACAATATAAAAATTATTCTACATGTTTTTTGTAGACATTGTGCAATATTCGGTTATTGTAGCTAAAGATATCCAAGCTCAATAAAGCTATCAATAACTCCTTCAATTTTAGATTGAAATTTCTTTATAGTTTCCGGATCTACTCCTGACAATTTAATATGATCGGCCATTTTATGCATAGATGTGTTAGAGTCTACTTTTTTCATCGCATCCTGCAATTTAGCGGCATTTGCTGACTCTCTGATTATAACCATGGTCACAAAGATAATTTGACCAATAGACGCCTTGGCAAATCTTCTTAAGTCTGCATCTAGTTTATCTCTAGGGTACACGTAGTTAGCTTTAAGTCCGTAGTTGGACAAATTTTTGTCTAATTGCGAGTGATAATAATTGATCCAGTCATCGTAATGCTTCTTTCTCGTTGCGTAATCAGTGCACAGGAAGATCATGTAATGTAGGTCGGCGACGGGACTACTTACTTTCGAGGCTTGGTAGTCGATCATACAACACTCCACAGTTTTATCATTCTGAAATAAACATAAAAATTACCAATGTCATTTGCATAAATACATTATTGTGGGTAAAATCTTCTTTATCCTATTGAATAAACTACCTTTTATGTACGTAACTAAGACACGATCTGTCATTAGGAACAAACACCAAAAATTTTAAAAACAGAAAGAAATTGGATTTAATAATCATACAAACGGATACCTACTTCAAGTCTGAACATAATGTTATTAGTCCAAGCATCTCCTTGTTGAATTACGGAGAATTTCGAGTCATGCTCTATTTTAGCCAATTTTGTAGCATATGTAATCATTTGAGTTATTACATTTTTAACAGCCTTCTTGTATTTATCACCACGTAACAATTTTTGTACATCTTCGTATATCTGACTGAAGAAATTAGCGGATTCAGGAATGCTAGCCATTAGTAACGAGAAATCAACAAGCTTATTTTTGAATGTTTCAAATTTTTCAGGTTCCTTATTCTTCAAAACGTATGATAGGGAATGTAAACTAGCGAAATTTTTAAGAACCAATCTGACGTTTTCATCTGTCAATGAGGTGAACCTGTCGAGAATCTGGAATCCAAGTACACCCAAGTCTTCAAGAAGAATAATTTCATTTGGTGCTTCCAAGTAGGTCCCATAGCAAGCTGCATATCTAAATCTTTCGTTTCCAGGAACTTTTGCAGCGTTTTCTAATTCAGTAAACGTAGGTAGCACTTCGGTGTACATGACATGCTCGTTTTGGTATATGAAGGTAGTATTTCCCATAGCACGCATCATATCCTGCTTTGAAGCCACTTTAGCAATGATTTTGAAGGTTTCGCCATTACTTTCTATTGTGATTCTTTTCACGTTGGCTGCATAGTTGTCACCTGCTTTGCCTACTGGTTGCACTTGAATTTTACCGTTTTCGAAACCTCGCTTTTTTAACACATTGGTAATAAAATCCTTTTGCTCTACACTTAAGTCATTGATGTCACCGACAAACTGAAATTCAACCATTGTAAAAGTTAATATAAATTTTATTGATCGACTTTAATCAGCAATAAATATAAAATGGGTATGAGCAGTGTTTTTATATCAAATTGTTATCTGTGACAAGGTTTTTAAAAATGCTGTGATTAGATTTTTGTTACATCTTATGATTAGAACTCTCTGTCCGTAATTGCGTATTTACTGCCCTTATAACACAATGTATTATTGTAATTAAATTTTTATATAAAATACTCCCATATGTGAGATATATGTATCACATCATGCAGTATTTGCTCTTTAGAACTTGGCGTGGAATGATGAAGAGGTGACAAGTTATTGCCACATCTCTTCTTTACTACTGCCCCACAGGACTCATCAGCCGCTCCTGGTAATTACGTAAAATTAAACTTAATCACCGTTTGTTAAAATATAATGATATATCTCAAAACTCTAGATAGCTGAAGCATCACTTTTTTTCATCTGTTCGATATCTCATGTTTCAAGGCAGTATTCGCATATGAGATGTTTGTCCGTGAATTCCTTAGGGACCTCCGTGGTTGCTCCTCCATTCTTCTTCTCGTACACGCCCGTTTGTTGGGATTGCTTTTTACCTGACCTTTGTAAATGACATTTTAAATCAGGTTCAGATATCGAGTTCTTAGGTTTTCGCGATTGTTACACATAGGAAATGAAACTATTTTTTCCGGATTTAAATCGCGTTTATTTGTTTTTTCAAACAAACCGACGTTTCGGGCCCTTTACAGGTCCCATGGTCACGGTTGACATGGGACCTGTAAAAACTGAAACGTCGGTTTGTTTGAAAAAACAAATATACGCGATTTAAATCCGGAAAAATAGTTTCATTTCCAGGTTCAGATAGTTATTTCTATACTCTAGCCAATTTTGATGTAGAATAAATGTCAACTAACGAAACATGATTTTAGGGTTTTCACCTCTGACTGTTGTACAGTCACCATAATGTCAATATTTTTCCCCGAAATTCGATTGATAATATTGACCTTGAAATTATGTTTGTGATGAATTGTGGTCAATAGAAGTTTCAAATCACTAGTAACTGATTCAAAACCAACATAAAATAATCCAGTAATTAATTATTTATAAAATCGTGTCATCCCTAATGACTTTTTGCTTTAAAGGGAAAGATTGCAAACATTCCAGTTCGAGTAGTACCCAATTCAAGATCAGAATCGGAAATTGTCGCTGAATCTGACGTCATTGTAGTAAATTAATACAAAATAAAATATTACAGTTTTGTTTCTTTTCATCTACCATTACCTACTATCTGGCAGTAAGCATTAGTTGGTATCAAAAAGTTAATTACTTTATCCATAAATCACACGTGTCAATAGTACTTTGCAAACTTTATAATAAATTGGATATACACTTACGTGTTACTTCTACATAATCCAATTACCTGCTTACGTATTTAAATTCCAATTACGCGAGCGAATGGGCAGATCTAACTTAAATAATAAGCTTGGACAAAAATGTTCTTTACACCTGCCATCATTGGTTGCCTAGCAACGTTTTGTTTTAAAAAATCATCGAATTTGGCTAGAGTATAGGCCGCTTTTATCTACCTCATCATTTCCATTAACGGCTAAAAAAATTTCATTTTGAAACCAACACGTTGAAAAACGATCATATTACCTTTTTGAATACGTCTGAAGTGTCCACACGAATTAGGCCATTATATGATGACAGAATATAGACTACGAGCCCTATACCCCACCGTAGGTGGGGTCGGGCTCGGCCTGCGGCGCGTGGTCGGTTCAGTTTACGGGCTATGCTCATGCTCTTCGGTGGCACAGCAGTTAGTACTATGGGCGCTTGATGAGAAGGTCGATTCCCGATTTGGGCCAATTTAAGAAAGGAACATTTCTAAGTTGGTTTTGGTCTGAGTATTCTGGATTATCGTTGTTTTGGTATTCATAGTACAAGAAATTCGGCAGTAGTTTGGCATTTTTTCCCCCTAAATACTTCTCTTTGGCGTAGCTTTCAAGAAAATGGAATCTAACAGGTATGGATCTAACGGATATTGAGATACAACTACGCTATAATAAGTACCTCATTTCCACTACATCCGTAAGTATGCCTTACATTTTTACAATTGTGAGATCTTGTATTCGTAATCTGTTACGCCTCCGTATATAATTCACCTCCATACGAAGGCGTGCGGACGCTTAGGCCTTCGCCCTCCGCGGCCTCGGCACTTAGGACTTTGTTTTAAAAAAAATTAAATAGCTCTTTAATGGCGGCCATATATAAAAATAACAAAAATATATTATGACCACTAATTATTATCAAACAATCTTAGAAATCTTTTCGTGCTAATTTTCAGTCCGAGCAAAGCAAGTTACATAAATAAATTACGGCTATATCGTAAAACAGCGGAAACAAAATTTTTACTCCAAATTATGATGCCATGTCGTTTTCAGTCGAATTAGAAGAAATTTGTATCTATCGCCAAAAAAGTTTGTATGGTAGCCATATTGAAAAAATGGTGAAAAATAAATTTTAACCGCTAATTATTATTAAACACTCATAAAGACCCCGACATGTACATTTTCAATCGAATTAGTGCAAATTTTTATAATTTATTTTTATTGACCAGTGTTACCTTCTATGACATTCCTTCGAGCACCTCCTACCTATCTGTAATAGTTTCCATGATAGGAGGCTTTGAAATCTGTATAGTGCCCATCTTGTTTATTTGAATTTCGAACATTATTTACTTACCGCGGAAATTAACCAGGGTGTATCTCATAAAAATGCACAAAAATCCATGTATTATAGTTTTTGCAGGCCATTGATCACTCGTTTACATTTTCCACATTCAGGTCTTCTCATATTTGATTCTTTGCCTTGGAGCCTATCCGCGTACAACGGTATAAATATCTTTTTTCCACCATATCGGGAAGTACGCGTTCTATTTCTATCAGCGAGTAAGACCTTGTAGCTTATATATATAATAATACCCTCTCTTAAGATTCTCGTGCCCAACAGTAGATCGCAGATGAGTTTACATGAAGTATTTGTGTCACGAACAAAGTCCAAAGAGATTTAATGCGGTTACCATATTTTACATTTGTATTCATAACTTCACTTATGGATGACATTTTAATACAAAAACATAAAAATATATTATGTTTCAGTAATTTCAGTTTAATGCGCAGTCTGAAGTCACGTGCGTTCACATAAGATGTAAAAAGTTTTTTTTTTTAACTTTATTGTCAGGTTGCCTTGCTGTTAAAATGCATAGATATATATTTCATTATTTTATTTAACAGGTCGAACAAGTCGTGTGCCTGGTGGTAAGCTACACGCCTGTCCATAACAGTTGCAGTGCCACTCAGAGCTTTAAATCGCAAAGATCTGAGGGATAATGCCACGGCACCTGTCAACTGAGACATAATTAAGTTGACAAGTCTCATATGCCTGTAATTTCACCACCCTTACCTTTTAACTGGAACGCAGTAATACTCACATTACCGCTTGGTGGCAGAAATAGGTAAGAATTCGATATTTGTATTAATAATTATAACAAACTAAAGTACTCCGTCCAACCATTTATTTCAGTTTTGACAGCTCATATTCTTAACAATTAGTGACGGCATAATGCGTTTCCGATTCGATTTTTTATAACAATCGATGTTATTTATGAAGATTATTTAATCGTGAATGTGAGAGTGTTGGGACATCTCTCGCCAGGACTGGTAGCTGTAAAGGTACTAACTGGGTGATAAATCTGCAATAGATTTCTCATAGATGGCGCTACGACTAGAAAGTCGTTGAAAGACCAAGTACAAAGACACGACGCAAGCACATAGAAAAATTCGTGAGGTCCGTTAGTTCGTTCCGTGGCTTAGTTGGTATAGCGTCTGGCACGGTGTGCAAGAAGACGTCGGTTCGTCCGACCAGATCGAAGGAATTTTTTCTGAGTGTTCGATCTTTGTATTAATAATTATAACAAACTCGATGAGTGTTCTTCAATGGTTGCGTAGTGAGTGATGCACGCTCTTTTCCCTTCCCTTTACTTTACTTTACCTTAAACCCTTCGTTGCCCTATGTGTAACAATCGCGAAAACCTAAGTACTCGATAGATAGGAAATGAAACAATTTTTCCGGATTTAAATCGCGTATATTTGTTTTTTCAAACAAACCGACGTTTCGGGCCCTTTAGGTCCCATGGTCACGGTTGACTGATATTCGATAGATATTTTTAAAATTTTATTTCCTCGGTTTTGTGTTTTGTAATAAGGGCCCGTTCAACAACGGCAGCAGAATATCTGTTTACTTGTAAATGCAACTGATAGGCGTACGTACACACAAGATTAGTTTGAAATTACTTTTTCGGAAAGTGTTTTCCCTTTCATATTAAAGGTAATTTTTGATACACTCTAAGTGCGAATTTCAAACAAATATTGCCGAAGGAGGTTTCACATTACTATAATGTGCTTGTGACGTCATCGGATGTACAAAAAATGTGGCACGCTTGGTTTTCGTATAGTCTGTGGGCAGATACATGTGTGCGAACCGATTTATACCGATATCATATCTGTCAAAAATTTTACTTTTATTATAAATTCTTAACCTTAATATCTACTTATTTGCAAATCATTATCGTTCTTCAGAAAACCAGCGCTTGCCTCTTACTTGGTACTATTGCATCATGCTGAGTTAGTGACAATGAATAGGCATGTCAAAGTTGACAATATGATGTAGATGGATATAGTCGTATTGGTTTGCTTCCTTTTTAAAAGTTTTTTTGAGTTGATGGCAACAAATTACACACAATTAAATATATATGTATAACACTTTGATGGATGTGTATTTGTTTGCCTATGCGGGTAGAACATGGACATTCGACATGATCTTCGTCTTGTCCATGTTCATTTTAAGACCCACTCTTTGGGAAACACTACTGAGATCTTCGACCATTGTGTTCAGGTCTCCCAAGGTGTCAGCCATAAGAACTATATCATCGGCAAATCGAAGCTGTGTCA